GTCTCTTTGGGGTCATCTTGTTTGGAATTCTTTGTTCTTCTTGGACCTGGATGTTTGTTTGCTTTCCCACATTAGGAATGTTTTCAACCATTATTTCTTTAAATAAAGTTTCTGTTCCTTTTTCTCTTTCTTCTACATCTGGGATCCCTATAATGTGAATGTTTGAGCACTTGACGTTATCCTAGAAGTCCCTTAAATTATCCTTATTTTTTAAAATTATATTTTCTTGTGTTTTGATTGGTTGATTTTCACTAGTCTGTCTTTCAGGTCACAGATCTGTTGTTCTGTGTTAGCTAATCTGTTTTGATTCCTTGTAATATGTTTTTCATTTCATTTATTATATTCTTCAGGTCCACTTGGGTCTTTCTTATAGTTTCTACCTTTTTGTTGAAGTATTCCCTAAGTTCCTCTTTTTCACTCTCAAGTTTTGTGAGCATCCTTATGACAGTTTCTTTAAATTCTTTGTCATACAAATTACTTACTTCTGTTTCTCTAGGGTTTTTTCTGGGGGTTTTCTTGTTTCTTCATTTGAGAGATATTCTTCTGTCGTTTCACTATGTTTGACTTTTTATGTTTGTTTATATAAGTTATACAAAATAGATGTCTCTTTCAGTCTTGGAAAAGTGGCCTTATGCAGAAGCGGGTTCAGTGTAGACTGTATGTGTCAGGTGGTTTTGGCAAGGTGGTAGAAGCTGAGTGGGTGCTTAGGGTGTCCAGGGCACTGGCCTACAGAGCTGGAGCAGCTCCAAGTAGGGAGGCCAGGTGTGTGTATTAATGTCCTGTTGATCCTGTTTGCACCCTTTGTTTGGGCCAAAATGGGCTTGGGCAAAGTGTCTGGGAACACATTGCAGCGACCTTGCAGGCAAGCCAGAACACCTGGATAGAACCCCCACCCACCCTAGGAAAGTGGGAGGGGGCATAAACAATGGCACTCACCAGCTCCTCTAACGCCAGAGAATTCCCGCAGTCCCCAGAGAGCTCCTGCAGCTCTCCAGTCTTCATACAGTTCTCTCTCTTGTTTATTGTACCCAAAGTGGTCCCATGTGGAAGAGACCTCTGTGTAGGCTTTATGTGCCAGATAATTTTGTGAAGCCCCTTGGAGCTGAGCAGGAGCTATACCACCTAGGGCACTTGCCTATAGACCAGGAGCAGCTCTCAACAGGGAGGCCAGGTGGCTGTGGTGATGCCGGTGTGGTTCCTGCTTGATCCCTTTGTTCAGATGCAAAAGGCTCCAGGCAATGTATTTGTGAACACACTCTGGTGATTTTGCAGGTAGGCCAAAGCAAGGGAATAGAGCTCCTGCCTGCCCTAGCAAAGTGTGTGTGTGAGGGGCAGGGGTTGGCATAAACGATGGCACTCACAGGCTCCTCCCACCATGGAGAGTTCCTGCAGATCCAGGAGGGCTCCCTTGGCTTCCCAGCATTTTCTATTTGGTCTCTTTCTCTTGTTTGTTATCAGAACTATTCATTCAGTGCTCCGTTGTCTCACAGGAATAACTGTATATTTGACTTTGCTCATGAGAGAGGATGAATTAAGTGTGCTCCTATGATGCCACCATCTTGATTCTCCTTCGTCCATTTACATTTAATGTTATTATTGATATGGTTGGTTTAAGGTCCATCATGTTGTTATTTGTCTCTTCTATGTTTTAGTTTCTGTTGCTCATTGCCTGTTTCCTTTTACATACTTGAACATTTTCAATATCCCACTGTATTTCATGTATTGGCTTTTTAGCTATGCTCTTTTTTATTATTTAGTGATTTTTCTAAGGCTAACAATATGCCTCTTTATCAATACTTATAAGTAATATTGTACCACTTCACACTTCATACCTTGACCTTTCCTACTTCCTATTTCACCTTCCTATTCCACATTTCACAAATGTAAGACCCTTACAATAGTATAATTTTACTCACTGCTCCCCACCCTGTCCTCTTACTATCGTTCCAATTTCCTTTTTACTTCTACTTACATTACCAACTCCAACTAATAATGTTATTATTTTTGTTTTAAACTATCAACTGTCTCTTAAGGAAATTAAGAGATGGAAAAAATAGTTATTTACATGTACCTACCTACATATTTAATATTTCTGATGGTCTTCATTCTTTTCCATAAATCTGAGTTTCCATATATTATTTCCCTTCTGCCTAAAAAACATCTTTCAGCATTTTTGTAGTGCAGTTCTAGCAGCTGTGGATTTTCTCAGGTTTCATATACCTGAAATAGCTTTATTTCATCCTCATTTATGAAGGCTATCTTTATTGGATAGAGAATTCTGTGATGACAGGTTTTTTTCCTTTTAGTACTTTAAAGATTTTGCACCATCATCCTCTGGACTGTTATTTCTAATAAAAAATTAACCATTATTCTTAATGTTGTTCATCTGTACATAATATGTCTTGTCTTCTCTGACCACTTTTCAAAGTTTTCCTTTCTTTGATTTTTCAACAGTTTGACTATGATGTGCCTACGTGTGGTCTTCTTTAATTTACTTGGGGATAACTGAGGTTCTATAGCTGAAAGTCAATATTTTTCAAGAAAATTTTGGGAAATTTTGGTCGTTATTTCCTCAAAGATTTTTTTTCTGCACTATTCTCATTATCCTTTCCTTCTGCAACTCAATTATATATGTGTTAGACTGAAGCTCTATTCATATTACTATGTTTCTGTTCTTCAGGGTGCATTGATTCTTTCTTTTGCTATCTCCAATCTATTAAGCCATCCAGTGAATTTTTCATTTTAGTTATTGTGTTTTCCAGTTATAAAATTTCCATTTAGTTATTTTTAGTAGTTTCCATTTCTTTGGTGAGATTACCTATAAATTCACTCTTTAAGAACATAGTTTCCTTTAAGTGCTTGACAAGTTTTATAATAGCTTCTATAAAGTATTTGTCTGCTAAATTCAACTTATAGACCATGTCAGGGTCAGTTTTCTTTTTTTTTTTTTTTAAAGATTTTATTGGGGAATTGGTGGAGGGGAACTGTGCTGGGAAATTGGGGGAAGGGGAACAGACAAATTGCCATCCTTTTGTTCTTCAGTCTAGTTGTAGAGGACGTTGCTTCACTGGCCCCATGTTGGTATTATCATTGCGCTCTTCCCGGGTGAGGCAGATCGGTCGCCGGCCTCTCGAAGGCCGCTCACAGCGGCTCTTAGCAGCTCACACCAGCTGCTGGCCGCTCACACTGGCTGCCAGCCACACACGGTAGCTTATGGCAGCCCACTGCAGCAGGGGCTGCAGCCTACGCCGTTGCTGGTAACTCACAGCAGCCCAGCTCCAGGTCGAACTGTTATTCACCTTCTTAGCTGTAGAGGGCAGTGTCACTGGCCGTCATGTGGAATCCGAACCGGGGCCCTCTGGCATCCCAAGCCAGCTCTTAACCATCGCACCACTCAGCTGGTCCCAGGGTCAGTTTTTATTGACTGTTTTGTTTTTTGTTTGTTTTGTTTTATTGTATGTCTATTGATTTTTTAATTTTATACTGGATGTTTTGGTGGCTGTCACCCAATTTACACTGCCAGCTATAATAAACATTGCTCTACAATGTTTTCAACCTTCCTGATGAAATGTCTTCTCAGCTGTCATTCACAGATCTGAATTTACCCTTTCTATTATCTACTGACAACCTGATTGTTTGTGCAAATTCATTGAGAAAGCCAAATAATATAGTTGGAGAAAATTACAAGTGTTGGTACTAAACAGACTTGAATCTTACTCTTGTTTCTGACACATACTGTCTAGAGTATGTTGGGCAAGTTATAAAATCTCTGTTTATCTTTAAAATAATCATAACAAATATCCATGTCAATGGGCTTTTATGAGCACTAACAATGACAGAGATAAAATGTGTAGCACATAGTACACACTAAATTGTACCTACTATTATCAAGTACTTATACCACCTGGTTCAAATTTTCTACATTCCATGAGGGACTTTGGTGTCTAAATGGATAATCTACCTAATGCTTTCGCCCATTTACTTTCTTGACGCCACCATTCTGTGATTATTCTTCATTTCTGCCCATTCCCATGGCCATATTCTGAGCCTGTCACAATCTAGAAACACGCCACTTTAGAAACTTTAAATTTTAAACTTCCCAATATCCCAAGCTTTCATCACAATTTCTGCCTTTTCCTTTCTTATCTTTTCTTCTACAAACTCTGAGTACTTACTTCCTGTTGGGTGTATCAAAATTAACGAGACACATCTCTGTTCTCATGAAGCTCACGGTGTGGTGGAAGGGACTGACAAGTAAACATACAATCATACAACCATGGTTGTCACAGATTTTTGTACAGAGCACAGGATGAGAATCTAACCTAACCTAGAGGCTCAGGCTGCTTGTAGATATTGCCTGAGATTATTTGTAAAGAATAAGTAGGACTTAGCCAGATAAACAGAGGAGAAAAGGCAGAGAGGACAGCAGTCCCGGAGGCCAGAGGAAGCCTGACTTCCTGGATGCCTGTCCACAGTTGAGTCCAGCTGGAGCACACAATGTAAGAGTCTAGAGAAGAAAGCCTTGTCACAAGGAAAGATTTGAGAGATATTTAGGGGGCAAAATTGAGAGACATGGTGATTGGACTTTGGTGAGAGAGATGTCAATAAGATTTCTGGCTTAAATGGATAGTGGTACCAGTTACTAAGAGAACACTCAGGAGCGGGTTTTGGGGGAAGATGATGAGTTCAGGGTTAGATTTGAGGTGTAATGGGACAGCAAGGAAGTGATACACAATAGGCAGTTGGAGAAACAGGTCTGGTGCTTAGAAGAGAAGCCTGGGTTGGAGATAAAGATTTAGCAGTCCAAGCATAGAGATGGTGGGTAAGGCCATGAGAAGGGTAAGGTATTCAGGGAGTGTGTGTAGAAGGAGAAGATAGTAAGGATTGAATACTGAGGTTTAGTCTGTCGGTGTATATTTGAGAGTCAATGACTATTGCTAGGGATTTAACAGCTCAAGAGATGACAATGACTGCTTCCTCCCCTCCTCCCAGCTCCTTACCGGAAGCGGCCAGGTGCAGATCCTCCAGCAGGAAAAGGAAGGAGCCTTTAGAATCCAGGTGCCGCCCAGGCCATGTGCTGGCTTGCGCCTGGCTCTGGACCCCTCGGCTCAGCAGAAGGCGAAGGTGGACGGTGCTGAAGGCAGGGTGGATGCGGCTGTACATGTACGGGTGATGTGGCTCCACCAGCACCTCCACAAACGCAGACTTCCCGGTGGCTGCCTCTCCAGCCAGCAGCACTGGGTGTCCCTTCGTCAGAAGTAGGTCCACCACATACAGGAGCCGTTCAGTCTGCAGGACAGGAGCAGAACTTACTGTGGCAGCTCCAGTTTAAGACAGTAATCTAGAGGAACGTAAAGGCCTAGGGGCCTTGTCTTAATGCTGTACTTGCAGAACACTTCATGTATTCTTGTGTGAAAACATATCAAAGAACAGAAGCAGGTGGGCCTCAGCTGGGCCTAGAAAGTGGACTCCCCCAGGATAGCTCCTCAAGCCCCAACCCAGCTAATGAACACTGTTCTCACACCTGGGGAGAAGGAATGAAGGTGTCCGGAAGTCTCTTGAAGCGGCTGCCCAAGTATTGGCCAGTGAAGGGGACCAGTGTCCCATCTTCAGGGCAGACATGTAGATCAAACACCAAGGCTGAGGGCGGTGGCTCAGGATAGTTGGAGAGGCAACTGATAGAACCCCTCAGGAAGGTATCAAAGAGGGGCCAGAGCCTGCTCAGATGGGTATACAGGCAAAAGTGTCAGTTACAACAGTTCCACTTGTGACACATGCACACACTCCACCCACCCCTGACAGCTGACAGCCCTGATGTCACCTGGGTTTTGACTCCCATGGGCAAGTCCTTTCAGCCCCCTGCATCCCCCGTCCCCAACCCCCGTAAATACCTGGCAGGAAGGTGGGCTCCAAAGCCCCAGATCAAGGCAAAAAGAAAGCTGCTGACACCCAGCAGGTGCTCCCTGCGCTTATGAGGCACATCATCGTTATCAACGTGGGACTGGTTCAGAGTGCTGTTTTTTGAAGGCTTGAAGCTTTGGGGTACAGGATCACTACAGCTGAGGTCCTCTGCAAAGGTCGCCATGGCCAGAATAGGAGCCCCAGTAGGAAGAAGTATGGGTGGGGGAGATTAGAAGTTGGCTCTATTACTTCTCACTTTCAGTCCCCAAGCCCAAGTCCACCAGAGAAGCCATGCCCCAGGCTCTGGCCATCTGCCATCTGTCCGCCAGCCTCCATGGTGCTCACACCACTTTCCCTTCCCTTCACCTGTGATATGCGCCTTCTTTTCCTCAGCTGTGAGCAGGTGGCGATCAAGCAGACAACGCAAAAGGCGAGCCAGGCTGGTGACTTCAGCCACGCCTGGGCAAACAGCCTGCTGCCCATGTGCCTGCAGCAGGGAGCTGGCACCCTGGCGGGTAAGGAATCGGAATGTTGCCGGCACCAGCACTTCAGCCAGGTGGTTGAGCTCAGTGACCGTCTGCGGTTGCAGGTGGTACTCATGGGGCAGGGCTGCCATCAGGATGCTGAGCATCCCCTGCCAAGTCTGTTCCCCACCACACCAGACGAGGTCACAGCGGCCCACCACTGTGGGGGACATGCCTGTTGTGTCTCCCACCTCCATCAAGAGAAAAGTACTTGGGGGTCGTTCTATCTGCTGACCATTGGGGAGGGTAAGCTGGGGGGGGTCGCTCAGGAGGCAAGTGATGGAGTCCAGCCAAGCAGCACTGGAGGGCCCATCGCATATTATCCAGTGCTGGGTCCCCACCGAGTCCTGTGCCTCCCTCTTTGGGTCCACAATCCTACACTGACTGGCTGCACGCAGCAGCCTGGGGAAGACGCCTTGGTGCCAGCAGGGGCCCTCTAGCCACCCCAGGAACTCCTGGGGGCTGAGGACACTGGGATACAGGTGTGTCATTTTCACAGGCAGATAGCCCTGTGTTGAGGTGACCTCCCTGGCTGTGAGCTGATTCTGGATCTTAAATAAGCTGTGCCAACAAGTGGTCTTGCCACTGCCTGCAGGGCCCAGAAGCAAAATGCCGGAGGCCCGGCACAGGGCCTGGCTCAGCTGTTCCAGGGACCCCAAAATGTCAGGGCTCGGATGCAGGCCTGCCTGACGCAATTCCTCCACCAGCAGTGGCTTCTTCAGCCTTCGGGTCACAGGCTCTGCCAGCACCTGGCTGGCACTGGGGAAGATCCCACAGAGCAGCTTTTGGAGGTTGTGAAGATGGACCCCACTGAGGCTACTGAATAGTGGTGAGTGTAGCAAAGCGCGCACTAGGGCGGCCTCCTCGATGGCAGCTAGGCTGTGGGGCTGCTGGGAGCTGGGTTCTTCCTTGGTCACATTTAGAGCCTGTATCATGTCTGCCAGTACTTGCTTGAGCAGTCGCAGGCGGCAGGGCAGGGGCCTCGACATGAGCTCACGCTCTAGGGAGAAGAATTGGGATAGGCGGGTAGCCATGCGGGAGGCACCCCGCATCCCTGCACCCAGAAGAGTCAGCTCCGCTACTTGCTGTAGGTTAGGCAGTGTGATTGCCACAGGCCGCAGCAGCAGGCGCAGGTTGGCAGGCACAGCAGGGACCGGAGCAGTCAGCGTCAGGAGACAGCCATAGCCAAGACGTATATACACGTGATGTTTCTCAAAGAAGCCACTGCCAAGGAGCGGGGGGTGGGTGGGGTCAACGGTGCTGGTGCTTGGGGAAGCCTCCCGGTGCAGCGGGGCATAGAGGCGGTGCAGTTCAGCCAGGCGCTGGCCCAGGGCAGAGAGCAAGCCAAGGGGCAGGCATTGAGCTGCCTCCAACAGCAGCCATGCACCACCCTGCAGGGCACCATTCAGGTAGTTGCTCAGGCTTTGGGCCTCCATTTGAGGCAAGCAGGACATCATCACCAGCTGGCGCCCCAGGGCCTGTGCCAGGCTCTTCACCGTGGCTACCTTGCCCACACCATCAGGGCCCAGTAGGGTCCCACAGGCCACCTCCTCCAGAGCCAATAACAGTCCCAGGGCTGGGCGTTCAGGCAGCAGGCTGGGTAGAGACTCCAGTCTGGGACCCAGGTACTCATAATTGTACAGGAAGGACCGGCCCAGCACATCTATCCAGCACGCAGCTGGTGACAGAGAATTCTCAGTAGATGCAATAGTCTTGAGGGTCTGCAGGGGGCTTTGGAGGATGGTGTCAGATGAACCCAGGTGGTACTTGAGTTGGCGGGCCCAGTGGAAGTCTGCCAGATCACAGACCTGGTGCTCCTGCAGCAGCTGGGCTATATCCCGGTGAGTCACTGCCATGACCAGTAGGGCACTAAGCAAGCTGGTCTGGCGGACAGAGGGCAGAGGCTGCCCACGGTGGGAGGCCCTCTGAGCCCGTACAAAATACACCAGTCCTTCCAGCTTCCGTACATGTATGGGGACCATGGCCACGGTCCTCCCCTCAAGCAAAGCCTCTTCCATCTCGGCCCGCCATACCACCTCCTCTGCCACCAGCACACACTGCCATGGGAAAGCCTTGACTAAATCCAGCCAGTGGTGGGCATACTGTTGCAGGGGCACCACCTGGCTTTGCTGGGGCAGCTTCTTGAAGGCCTTGTCTAGGGATGAGCCCAGAGCCAGACGGGCAGCCACACAGTCCTGCAGCATGTGCACCAATGCCAAACGCAGACCCTTCTCCAGAGACGCCAGCCATTTGGGGAGATCTGGATGCAGAGGAAGTGACTGCCGCAGCTTCACCTCCTCCCCACCTGCCCCTAGCACTTCAAGTGCCTCCACCTGAGTCTGTGTGCTTGGCCTCAACTCCTGGTCCTCCGTGTTTCTAGCCATTGGGATGGACTTGAAGCCCACAGCATGCACATGAGGAAAGCAACGTCGTACCCATATCTGGGCCTCACGTGACTCCAGTGGGGCAGCCAGCAGGGCTACCAGCTCACTGTCACTGAGGAAGAAGAGGCGGGGGAAGTGAGCACAGACCCCATAGAGCACGCTCTCCAGAGCAATAATGATGCCCTCCAGCTCCAGTGAGCCTGCTTGCAGCAGTTGTTGCAGCTGCTGGCCTTGGAAATAAGGGCTCCTCTTGGCACTGGGCACTATAAGCGACAGAACCAGAGGGTCAGCTACAGAGATCCGCATCAGGGTCCGATACTGATCATCCATGGCCTTGAAACGGGAGTCCTGTGGTGAGGGAGAGGGTAAAAGCGAGGGCGGATGTGAAGGGGCAGCTCCCCCTCCCAGCCTGCACCCCTCTATTCAGTAGCCTGTGTCCACCCTACCTCATCCCCTTCCCTACCAGGTCAGAACTGGGAAACTGGATCTTCATCTCATGTAGAACTTTATTCAGAAAAATCCACTCCTGCTGAAAAGTCACCCACACCTCCAGCACGTCACCTGTGTGAGTAGCCAGAGGAACACTGGAGAGAGACTAGGGTTCTAGTTTCTGCAAGGGGGTCCAGCCTGGTCCTGACCTCTCAGGCTGCCCCACCCCAAAACAGGCTGCTCAGCAGGACCCAAGGACCTTGCTTGGAGGAGAGAAACCTTTCGCTGTGAATCAAGACCTGCTCACCTCCGCCCTAGAAGTAGCCTTGAAGGAGATCCTCCTGTGTTTCCGATCTTCCGCACCCAAATCCCACCTCTCACCCCACCCCGCTGCGTCATCCTGCCTTAGGTCCCACCCATCAGCCCAGCTAGAGGCCTGCACTCACCCAGGCCATGCATGATGGTCACCCACTCCAAAGCTATTTTGTATAAGTTTCCTGAGTTTTGCATGTCCAGGATCTTGAACAACACCTGAAGACTGTCCTGGATAGAATCCTGCAGGCTGTTGTAATCTAAGGAAGAGTGGGGTTTCCAGCTGAGCTGAGCTGAGCTGAGCTGAGCTGGCAGTCAGATGAGGCAAGGGCAGGGGTGACTAATACCCAAAGTACACTGAAACTCATAGACCTCAAGTTATTCTCTAGAAGACCCAAACATTTTTTTTATTCCACTAGTTGAACTGTGTGCTCACCAAGAGCCAGAGTGTGTTGGAAAACCTGTTTATGTGAGTTACAATTTCAATTACAGAATGTAAGCTAATATGTTAACCACTGAAATACAGGTGGGAAAGGAGTTGTTGGTGCTATGGAAACCATTAAAGGTTTCAGTAAAGGTGAGTTAATAAAACATGATATTAAGTATAGGTCAGCCAATTTTTAAAAATCGGGAAATGATAATTAGAAATGTAGAAAAGTTTGGACTCAGGTAGCTTCACAATGTCTTCATGTCATTGCTCAACTTTACAGAAACTGAAATTAGAAATAGACAATGCATGAATGCAAGAAAGGCAGTGAGGAACTTCTAGTTGACTGCAAATCAAAGAAAAGCTCATCCTTAGGGTAAAAGATTATAAATAAATGTTCATTTATATGTTTTAAGCTAAAAATATCTTAAGTCATGTATGCATCATATTTTATGATTTCCCTATATGCCCAACTTTTGAAATTTGCCAGTTGGGTTTCAATTGTGTTAGAAAAGAGAATTTCTCCTCTACTGGCAATTCCCTAACTGTCATCCTGGGTGCCTGTACATAAGCTGCTCCCTCTCCCCGGTATGCCACTTCCCCTTACAAGTTTAGAAAATTCCTACTCCTTCAATGGTCATCAAGAGGCCTCTCCCTAAGGGAAGGGAAGATTTCTCGGACTTTCCCTGGGCCTTTGAAGCAGTCCTCTGTCTGAGATTTTACTGCATTATTCCATCATGCACTTATCTCTATCCTATTGTCCCTCTCTGACTGGACTGGGAGCTCTTGAGGGACAGGACTTCTGCCTGTAAATCTCAGCATCTCCTGCATTTGTTTCAGAGGTGGCAGGTGAATTTGATGAGGAAACAAAAAAGGAATGAATGGGTGGGGCAGGGTACAATTTATAGGACAGAGCATTGAAAGGTGGACAGACGTGACCATGAAGAACTTCTTAGTATATCAGAAAGGGAAGGACCTTTGCTGAAGAGGCTAGGCAGTGGGTGGAGACTCCCAAGAAGATTAAGACTGTATAGGATGGGGCCGGCCGAGTGGCTCAGTTGGTTAAGAGCTCGCTCAAGAGTTTGAGCTCTGAGCAACAACGGTTCGAGGCCAGCCCGAGCTGAGCAGCCGCTAAGCTGCCAATAGGTAGCAGGATGGCTCAGCTAAAAAAAAAACAAAAAACAAAAAAAAAACAAAAAACAAGACTGTATAGGAGCTACATGGAAGACACTGTCTCAGAACAGGCTGATGTCTCAGGCTGTCCAGGAAGGATGGGAACCTGGCTAGAGAAGCTAGATCTGGCAGGGCTTGGTGGACATGGTAAATGAATATGGCCCCCCACAGGGGGCTTTCACTGGGCCATAAGGGCTGGGTCTCACCTGAAAGAACGAAGGTGCCACTGTCCTCGGGCACTACATCCCAGTGGGGGCTGCGGAGCATTTGCTTCTTGGAGCGCTCCAAGGCTGGGGGCTCGCAGGGCACATGCAGGATGAAGTTGAGCAGCCGCAGCTGGCGCACTTCCCAGACCCGCTGCAGCTGCCGCAGGGTCTCTTGGGCATGAACTTGTTCATTTTCACACTGCCAGATCTGGAAGAGCTGGGTCTCAGGAACCAGGACTGAGTAATGCCTCAGGGGATAGCACTGGAACTGGGACTCAAGGGCCAGGACTCAGGGGAGTGAAGGTCTCAGAGATGGAGCGTGGGACCATCAGGCTTCAAAGGCAGGTCAGCAGCAGCATACTCTGACCTAGGGCTACTGCCCTAAAACCCACTCTTTTGCAATGCTCCAGCTAAGCAGACTACCTCAATCAGCACGTGCTCTTTTGGGACAGGGTAAGTGTTGGGGGACATCTGCCGTCCTGTGTGCCCACGACTTTGGGGCTGCCACCTACTCCTTCCCCTGGGGGTGTGCATATGTTCAGTCACAGAGAATCTGAAACCACCCATCAGGTCCCCATATGCTCCCAGCTGGCCAGCAATCTCAACCCTCCTAACTACTTACCCACCCACAAGCCAATTATCTACTACCCTCTTGCCCCGAGGGGCTGTTGGGCCTTAACTGGCTCTATTAGAGCTTAGCAAACATGTCCTGGACTTGGGCCACCTCCCTCCCTGCAGTGGGTCTCACCTGATTGAGTCTATCTGCAAACTCCAGCAGCGGACAAGCAAGCAGCTGGCCTAGCGTTATGAGTTCTACGTTGAGACTGCCCAGCCCTAAGGCTGAAGGTAGACGGCACAAGTCAGAGTGACATCAGTATATGGCAGAGTCCAGCCCATATCCCAGATCCGGAACCCAGAGCCCAGGCCAGCCCCCAGATGGCAGATCTCAGGGCACAACATAGAGCCAAGAGTGCAAACCTAAGGTCCAGAGCACAGCACAGAGCCCAGAGCTGACTCCAGCCTGAGCCAGCCCAGGTCAGCAGGGAGGACCCACATGGTGGTGTGGGGTGGGCGCAGGAGAGTACAGTACTTGGGGGAAGGCAGGGAGCAACCCAGGGAAGGAGGGCGGTTCCAAACAGGAGTGGCAGGGAACTGAGCTGTTGCATTGTTCTAACACCTATGTCCTTCCCTTCCCCTCTGACGGTACCCAAACGCACCTTGCAGGAGGGCTTGGAAGTTGAGGCTTTGCAGCTGGAGGCTACCCAGCTTGGTAAGCAATGGCAGGTAGCTGCGGAACTCCTCTAGAATGTGCATGCAGCACTGCAGAACTGGGCTGTGCAGCCCCAGGGTGGCAAGCATCTGGGTTGCCTCTGTCAGCCAGCCATCTGTCTTCTCCTCGGCCATAGCCAGGCTGAACTGTAGGGAGAAGGGCTCACTGTCGGCTGGAGACCCTTCCACCCAGCCGCCTGCAAACTCCATTCCCAGGCAGGAGCTCCAAAGAAGAGTGTCAGCACCTTGGCAAAAGTCATGCACTTCCATTCGCTGATGTTTTCAGAGATGGCTCGGTACAGGTGCCAGATACGCTGCTGTTGCACAATAGGATGGGTCCCACAGATTGGCAAGGACACAGGACTCTTATTCCCTGTGAGACAGGACTGACTGAGGCCTGGGCTAGGTGTGGAGGTGGGGAGCATGATGGGGAATGGTCAGTCAAGAGCCCATAATAAGAGAAAGGAGGGTCCCGAAAGTGCCAGGATGGGGGGGGGGTGTCCAAAATGATTTAGTACAACAATGGAAGAGGGGACAATCCAAGGGACAGTTATTCCATGGTTAGGATATCTGGGAAGAATGTGATGGCAATGAAAGGCAAGGGTTCCTCTCCCATTACTCTCCATCTCACTCACTCCACTCAGGCCACAGCAGACTCTTCCCTGTTGTCCAGATGCACCAGCCTGCCCCTTCCTCGAGGGCCTTTGGCAGTTCGTTCTGGAGCACCCTTCCCTCGGAGAACCATCTGGCTTCTCCCTCAGCAAATTCAAGTGCTTGTTCAAACCTCACCTTCTTAATGAGGACTACGCAGCCCACCCCTTTAAGAACATCCCCACAGCCTTTCTTATTATTAGTGTGGATAATAAATTCCTGTTTTTTTCAATAGTTTACTTTGCACATTGGTGTCCAAATTGTCCCAGATTTGGCCAGTTGGTGTCCTTTCTGTGTCCTGGTGACATGCTCCCATCACTTCATAAAAGAACTTAACACTTTCTTATTTTCTGGCTTAAACAATATTCCAGGCTCATGTCGTATCTATTCTGCCACAGCCCTGGAATCATCCACTGTCTGAGGATTCCTTTTTGTGGAAATGGTATTAGAAATTAAGATCTGGGCACAGTGTGGCTCCTAGCTATTGGGGTGTCTTTGCTTCTTGGCCTCTTCAGTAGACAGGAGATATATTCATGTATATATATACATATATGCATACACTTATATACAGATATACATTTGCACATAAGCATGCATACATATACAACATGTGTATGTGTGTTTTAAAATGCAATGGAAGTTACAGAGTAGATGCCACAGAAAATGGAAGCTTATAAAACAAGTCATGATATTTCCCCAGAACTCTGAAAGAACAAAGAAATGAGTGATGATGAAGATAAAAGAAATGGAGAGATCCAGAAAATCCAACATAACAAATAAGAATTCTGGAAGGTGAACAGAGCCAATATAAGAGCTTTTATCAAATAATTGATAAACAGATTACCTATAAAGGAAAAAAAATCAGGTTGATATCAGTTTTGTCCACAATGTCAGAAGACAATGATACAATAGCTAAGTTTGAAGAAAAGATCTTGTGACTTCAGAATTCAATATTTATCCAAGCTTGTGACATAGGGACATTAGAAAGTCATTCTCAGCATAAAAGCTTAGAAATTTTAACACCTCTAATTCCTTTCCTAGAAAAAAGAAATACTCAAAGAAATATTACAGTCATTTAAGGAAAGAATGAAAACAATGAAAAGATGTGGTATTTAAAAAAAAAATGGTAGTGGATAAACAAAACCAGGAATCCTTAGATGTCAAAATAGTTGTTAACATGGTTATAAAACAAAACAAATGTCAAAAGTAATGAGTAAAACATACATAATGAAAAATAAAGAGTAGTAGTAATAATCTGGACTAATATCCTAGATTATTTTAACAAAACCTGGGGATTTGGTGAGGAGACAGGGATGGAAGAAGGAAGTAAAAACTGCTGTGGGGTTTCCTGGGCCAGCATCACAGGGCCTGAGTCCACAACTCTGCCTTTTCACAAACATCTCCAAACCAAACAGGAAAGGTCAAGGTCTGTGGCCTCTGTCAGTTAGTGGTCTATGGGATTGAGGGTCTCCTGATACTTAACCAAAGAAAAAGTCCCTTGCTTGAGGATGGCCCCAGAGTGTCCAACACCTCACATTTGGCCAAATAGTCCTGAGACTGGGGATGCTAATGGGCAGAGATGATAATAGCTGGCAGTTGGCCCACAGGCGACTCAGAAGCAATGTGCCTTCCAAGGGATAGAAGTGACTGCATCCCAGGAAAAAAAAAAAAACTTGAGCCCACAACATTCTTTACATGAAGAAGGGAACCACCACGGTACAGAAGGGCTAAGACCAATAGTTCTGTCCTGGTCTTCTCCTGTGAGCCAGTGAGGCCCTCAGCAGCTGCCTCGCTGCACCGCACTGGCTGAAAGCAATGGCTATGCAGCGTCCAGACCTATGTTTATCTGGGGCCTGCTGCCTGGCACAGGGCTGGGTTGAACAGGGCTACACAAAGGCTAAGTACCACAATGAAGACACCTTTACGTTCTCCTGCACGGGCTTTTAGCCCTGTCACCCCATCACATTCTAATGGAACATTCACCTGTTTGCCTCCCCTCCCAGATTGTGAGCCCCTGCCTCCTCGCCCTAAGCACAGCACTTATAGCCAATGTATGATGGCTTTGTGCTGCCGTTTTCATTCATAAAAGAGACTAATGAAGGTATGAGATTCCCGAGACTTGCTTAGGGTCACACAGGACACAGGACCCTAAGTCCCAACCCTCATCTCAGTTGGAGGGCCTACCCCAGGGTGGTGGCGGAGGGGGCGGGGATCCTCAGTACCAGTGAACGTGGTGTAGGCACGGTGCAGCTCACTGAGGTGGCTGGCTGTGCTCTGGAACTGACGCTCCAGGACAAGGAGTTGGCGCTCAGTGCTCCTCGGCTCTTGTGCAGGGTCCATGAAGGGCCCAGACAGAGCCTTCTCAATCAGGCCTTCCAGCTTGGCCAGTGCTGCCGCCATCAGCTGCTGCAGCTTGGGCACAAGGGTATGTTGCTTGCTGAACAGGAACTCTGAGGCCTGGCTTCTCTCAAACTGGAATTCCTCCCACATATCCAGAAGCTGTGGGGCAAGCAGAGGGCAGTCAAGTCAACGTGCTTGTGGGGAGTGGACGGGGCGGGATGAGGGACTCCCTGCATTGTCTTCTCACCGAGACGTCCAGTGCCTCATTCTCAGCACTAAAGAGGCTAAAGTGGCTGCGGATGAGTTCATGGAGTGACCGTATGTATTCCATTCGCTCCTCCAGCTTGGCATACTGGTCATCGGCCTTGTTCAACTGCAGGGGCCACGGCATGAGATCAGCACCCCCACAACCCTGCACACCTCTTTGGGCCCATCCCTGAGGGGCACTCCCACTTTCTGGGGGCTCCAGATTGCGGCAGCTGCCTTTAAACCCACTGGAAACAGGGGACATCTGGGATCAGATCCCCATCTGACCCACAGTTCCTCCCCCACCACATCATTACCCTGATGACAGGGCAACAGGTCCCTGTCTGATGGCCACACAGGGCGGAACTTTATTTCTGGAAGTAGGGCTGTATCTCTGTCATTACACTGGGGCCGCCCATTGCCGTGAGGAAATTGGACCAAGAAACAGAGCAAGAATCAGCAAGGGCAGATCACGTATGGTAGTTAGCACAGCTGAAGAGCATCAAGCCCCATTGGGAGCTCATCTGAGACCTGAAGAGAGTGACTGAGCATTTGAGTAGCATGGGCCCTGGGTGGGCTGGGGAGGAAGAAGGGCGAGAGCCCACCTTCTGGGAACACTGGGCAATGGCGTGAATGTCTGCGCTGATGGTTTGGAAGACCTGGATGAAATCTGTGAGCTCTTGCATTAGCTGCTGGCTGCGGCTCCAGCACTCGTTCTGTACCTGTGCAAGAATGTCCTTCCTGACGCTCTCCAGCTTGGCTTCTGAAGACAGGAGAGGGGTAGGTGTTAAGGGGTGCATGAAAACCAAAGGATGGTGGGGCAGTGCTGTGGGTCCCGAGTGGGAGTGGGAAGGGGAAGCCAGATCATGAATTCATTCCCTCACTCACTGAACACTTCCTGTATCTCTGCCCAGTGTCCAGTCAGCGGCTATACACTGGGGCCTGTGCTGGCACCAGTCGACAAGGGTGAGTGAGTCAGACAGGAAGGGTTTCCACCCTTAGAAGCTCACAATATGGTGACAGGGACAGATATATAAACAGGTAATCATAAATGTTCTAGGAGAGCCCCTCAACCTGGCATGGTGAAAGGAGAGGAGGCCCGAGGCGGCTAGTAAAGGCCTCCTCAGAGAGCAGGACATTGGAGCTGAACGTGTAGAGTAGTCAGTGCTCCAAGGGGCAAAGGCACACCATACAGATGAAACAGCATGTGCAAAGGCATGGGGATGACATGTTCACAAAGAGCCGAATGCCCTGCCAGAGATGAAAGTTTCCTGAATAGGACATCTTACTGTTTCTGCTCTAGTAGAAGAGCTACCAAGAAGAGTATGTAAACTGCCTTTTGTCTTTAAGGATTAAAGGAAAGAAGCTGTCAGGTGGATATGGGGCTAGAAGATAATCTTGGAAGCTGTCTTTGGTGATATGAACAACCCCATTTGTCTCCGAGGGAAGGAATGACACCAACATGGGACCTCAACAAATCTAAGATACCACTGATTGCAAGAGGCACCATTATTTTATATACCATGAAAAGAGTGATGCCATCTTAACTCTGACATGCCATCAATCGTAAAACACCTGTTAAGTTCAGAGATGTAAGTTAAAATAATGTGCAGAGGGCCGGCCGAGTGGCCCATTGGTTAAGAGTTGGCTTGGGACGCCAGCTCTGAGCAGCAGGGCCCCGGTTCAGATCCCACATGGGCCAGTGACGCTGTGCCCTCTACAGCTAAGATGGTGAACAATAGCTCAACCTGGAGCTGGGCTACTGTGAGTCGCTGGCGACAGCGTAGGCTGCAGTGGAGCTGCAGTGGGCTGCTGTAAAAAGCTACTGTGAGTGGCTGCCAGCCGGCGTGAGCTGCCGTCCAGGACCTGGTGACTAATCTGCCTCGCCC